GAGACGCCACGGGAAGGGAAGGGGGCCGCCCCCCCCCAAAAAAAAACCCCGAAAGCTGGCCGGAGGCGCCCCTTCCCCCGGCCTCTCCCTTCCCGCCGCCGGGGCCCTTGGCCGCACCGCCCTCTCCTGAGCCGCTTCCGCCCCCGCCCAGCTGTAAGTAATTACAGAGCGGGAAGGGGGCCTCCGGGGGGTCATCTAGTCGTCCCACTCCCTGCCTTGCCCCGTGCAGGGAACTCACAAACACCTCCCCCCTCCACACGCACACACCCCCCCCCGCGCGTGACCCCAGTTCCCCCCCACCCGGAAGGCGGCCAGGCGTCAGCATCAGTCCCTGGGCCGTGTGAGGAAGGAGGAGGAAGGAGCCCTGAGACAACCACCCGGGAAGGGCTGGCTTTCCCCTTCGAAATTATACTCCGGGGTTCACAGACAGGGCAGTTCCTGCGGTGCCACCAGGAATGTAAGGAACCCCAAACCTTCCCTCTGTCTCTGCCGCTGGCCTGTGCTTTCAGGGGTCTATGTGGTCCCGAGGAAGGATTGAACCGGATTCTGGGATGGACTGACACAAAGCAGGATTTATTGTTGAAATAAGAACAAGATAAGATGCTGGTTATCTGTTAACTGTCTGGGAATAATAAGGGGACGTGTAAGTAGGTCTGCCGGATGTATCACACACACACACACACTGTCCTTTCTTCCCTTTTCTTTTTCTTCTGACACTCAGATCCGACACTGATAGGACTCACTCGTTCCTATAGGCAGCCACACACTGGCTAAGCTCTTGGTATTTTTGACTTTCTTTCAGATCTTTAGAGTTTCACTTTTGAAGACATACATACTGCACTCTTTAAGACTAGCAGTAAAGCCCGTTGTGAAAGCAATACAACGGGATCTAGAAAGAGGCTCTGGGGCAGTGCTCTGGCTTTGGGCAAACAGTGTCAATTTGCTGTGGTGACCTCAGCAGGGTATAATGACAGAGTCCACTGTTTTCTCCAGAGGAACTGATCTCTGCTACCTGAAGAGCAGTTGTAATTGTGAGTGATCTGTAGCCCTCACCTGGAGATTTGCAACAATTGTTACCCAGGACGAAATGGCTGGTTTGGAGGGTGGAGTCTATGGCATTCTACCTGTCTGAGGTCCCACCCCTCTGCAAATCCCACCCTCTCCAGGCTCCACCCCTCAAATCCCCAGGAATTTGTCAGCATGTAGTTGGCAACCCCATCTCCTTCCCAGCTAGCCATCAACCTACCATTATCTGCCCCTTTGACTTCAGCTGACTTCTGCCCTCCCTTCTGCAGAGCAGTTGTAATTCTGAGTGGTCTCCAGCCCTCACCTGGAGATTGGCAACAATGGTTCACCATGAGGTTCCCCATGACTGGTTTGGAGGGTGGAGTCTATGGCAGTGTACCTGTCTGAGGTCCCACCCCTCCTCAAACCTCACCCTCTTCAGGCTCCATCCCTCAAATCTCCAGGAATTTCCCATCTGGAGTTGGCAACCCTATCAGGACTGGCCCCAATGTGTTTTCTCCCAAAGGCCAAAGTAGGTGACAGGACCAAGCTTAGTTGCCTACCAACAGGCACTGAGGGGAATGTAGGGTTGCGGAAGGACTTAGCAGGTATAATGTCATAGGGTCTACCTGCACAAAGCAGCCAGTCAACCCAGCCAGTGTCTTCTGAGTGGCAGTTCGTCCGGCCAAACACTAAAGGCGGGCATTTTAGAACGTTGGTCCCCACTATTCAATTATTATAAGGGAGAGATTCCACACAGAACAATAGTATCCCTCACTGACTGAGCTCACTAACTGAATAATCCCAGCTGATTTTTCTAACTGACTTTTCTATATCTGACTTACACACCCACACAGATTCACTTCAAAAACTCCTCCCACACTCTCTCATCCTCCAATCACACCACACTTGTCTCCCTCAATCATGTTACTCTGCTATCACTGCACTCCAGTCAGACATTTAAAGGAACACACACGCAGTAAAACAAGGAATCATTACACAACCCTTCCTGCCCTCCCTCTCACGATCTGCCAGTTCACAGAATCAGCGTGGCTGTCCTATGGCCATCTAGCTTGTGTATGAAAACCTCCCAAGAAGGAGAGCCCACCACTTCCCGAGGAAACCTCTTCCACTGAGGAACCACTCTTAACGGTCAGGAAGTTCTTCCTGATGTTTAGCCGAAAACTCTTCTGATTTAATTTCAACCCGCTGGTTCTGGTCCAACCTTCTGGGGTAACAGAAAACAACTCCACACCATCCTCTATATGACAGTCGTCTCCAGGCTAAACATATCCAGTTCCTTCAGCATTTCCTCATAGGATCTGGTCTCCAGACCCCTCACCATCTTCGTTGCCCTCCTCTGGACACGTCCCAGCTTCTCTATATCCTTCTTAAACTGTGCTGCCCAAAACTGAACCTAGTATTCTAGGTGAGGTCTTACCACAGCAGAGTAAAGTGGTACCGTCACATCTCGTGATCTGGACACTATACGTCTGTTGATACAGCCCAAAATCGCATTTGCCTTTTTAGCAACCAGGTCACACTGCTGAGGAAGTCCTCCATGCGGTGCCGTCTCATGGGGGGGGGGCAGCGGTTTCCCCGCAGGGCTCAGGAAGGTGCCCGCCCTTTTCTCCCACTCCAGATGTTGTGCCCAGAGGAGATGGCGGCTCTGGCAGACGAAGACCTCCTCGACTTCCTCCTGAATGACGGGGCTCCGGCTGTGGATTTCCTGGAGAAGGGCGGCCTTGAGGACTGGGGCCTGCTGGAGCCAGAGGTGAGGGCCAGGCCTCTTCTGTCAGGCCCGGCGCGGAGCCCCCCCCCCCGCTGCCCCGCCCCCTCCGTGGGCCAGCTGCTGGACTCTGCCTCCCTTTCTGTGCTCGCAGGTCTTGGGGGAGGAGGCGGTGGAGGACTTCCTCAGCTGCCTCCTGAGCCCCTTCGGAGAGGAGGCGACCCGCGTGCCGGACCCCTCCCCGCCTCACAGCGACAGCAGCAGCAGCCTTGGCCTTTCCGAGGAGCCGAGCGGCGGGGGGTCCTGCGGCAGCCCTGGGAGTGTGGAGGCCCCCGCCGTGTGGAACGGCCCCCTGGGCTCCGAGGGCATCCCGTCAGACCACAACTACTCTTTGCACCTGGAGCCCCCGGGGCGGGGGAGCTCCCCCTCCCTCACCGAGAGCGACGTCGCCATTGACCTGGGTGAGCGTTACAAGCCCTGCCGGGGGGGGGGGCGCAGCTGGGGATGCTCCCTCCCCCGGGATCTGCCGCCGATTTGAGATCTGCCGCAGATTTAGGCTGCAGCAGAGCAGTTTCTCTTGAGTGTGGCGGGGGGGGGGACAGCTGCTTGCAGTAGAATTCCGCAGTCCTGGTTGAGGGGCGGGGGGGGCAGTCGCAGGAGGGTCTCGTCCAATGTGGCTGGATTGCTCAAGTCGCCTGTTCTCCGCCCGTCTCGCCCTGTGGCTGGGCTGGTGTGTGTTGGGCGTGAACGTACTTGCAGGCTGTGGGGGCAGGCACTGGCCCTGTGGCCCCTTCCATGCCTGACTGAGGGGCTCCTCCTTCCTCTTCCAGAGATGTGGGGGGAGGCAGAGGCCCCTGACGACGAGTCCAGCAGCGGCAGCCCTGGGGACGCCGGCCTCCCGGTTACCGTCTCCGTCGAGGAGCCCCGCCCTGGGATGGATCTGCAGGTACCGGGTCCTCCTGGGCTCTCCGGGCAGGTGTGCCACCCGGGGGGTGGGGGCGAGGCCTCTGCGGGGGGTGCCTCTCTCGGCCTCTCGGAGTGGCGCTTGCCATCCCGCCAACCTTCCCCGCCCCCGCCAGCTTCGTCTCTCAGTTTGGTTTTTTTGGGGACATTTTCAGATCGTTTTCCCAGAGCTGATCCTGACCGACGAAGAGAAACGGCTTTTGGAGAAAGAGGGGGTTTCAATCCCGTCCAACCTCCCCCTAACCAAGGTGAGTGCTGCTTGCTTCAGCCCCCGCCCGCCCCAGAAATGGGGTCCCGTGCAGCGGAGGCACGTCAGAAGCAGAGGGGAGGGAGCCCGTATGTTTGGCACACACACAACCCCGCCTTGCAGAAGGGCCGCCCGCTTACCAAGAGTGCAACTTCCTGTTTTTAACTGCGAGGCTGAGAGTTGGAGGAGGATTCAGTTAAGAAGGAAAAGAAGTTCTCTGTCCAGGGCAGCCATAAGATGATGCAGTTGCAGGCAAGTCTCACCCAGGGGCCAGCCAGTCCCTCTGGAGGGCCAGCAACAGGGCAGGGAGGCCGAGGCCTTCCCCTGAGAAGAGCATCAGAAGAGCCCTGCTGGGTCAGACCAGGGAGGGTCCCTCCAGTCCAGCCTCCCGTCTCACACAGGGGCCAGCCAGTCCCTCTGGAGGGCCAGCAACAGGGCAGAGAGG